TAAGTCTTGTCACCTGGCCAAAATAGTTCAAACAGGAGGTCAGACTAAAAATAATTAATAAAAAGGTGAAATATTAAATATGGGGAGAAAGAAGAGTGACAGTTTAATTTTTAGAAGTTGGAGCTTATGTAACAAGTGTGAATTGCATCTCTCCTCAGTGTGTGACTGTGAATAAGAAATGATGAAGCCATTTTTAGACGAGGTAAGCTGAAACATGGATAACGCACTGAGAGAGAAGTTGAATGTGTTGGCCTGTGTTTTCATCATATGACGTAATAAACTCACTAATGCAGTTGTCTCATCTTATCTGTAGAGAAGTAAAACGGTGTAGGCGAGGATAAGAAGTAAACAAGATGTTTGTTTGTGACCTGGAATAAGCTGTAGCTCCAGAAAGGGTGGCATCTTTTAAGATGGTAGCGGAGGGAATAACTGCCCCATGGTCTGTGTGGTAAATGCTTTTGTGGTGAATAGATTGATTACACATTTGTGTGGTAATACGCACCACTAAATCACAGTCACATCTGGGCCACAAGGTGGCAACAGCCCAACCCTCCCCCTGCATAGATATACTAACTTTTAAACATGCTTTCCTAACTTTTCCACTTCAAATAATGGTAAGGAAAACCAATTTGGCAGATTCTCACTATGAGTCATGAATCCTATAAACAGCGTTGCTCTCAATAATGTGAGAGCTATTAGTGTGTCGTAGAGAGGGATATTCATTGGTCTCTGTCACATTCAACACAATATTAACAACAAGGCAATCAAACTCTGCAGACTCCTGTCTGGTGTTTAATCATGCTGTTCTGTTCCCGCAGTCACTCACCACGACAATGCTGTGCTTTTTTTTTTTTTTTGTGCCGCGACATCATCTTGCCACCCGCTGTAGGGCAGGAATAGCTGCAGTAGCCTGCGGAGGCAAAATGCAAAACCATAGTAACTAGCATAACATAGCTTAAGAGGTTAATCACTGGCATATAGCTTCTAGTCATGTCATAGGTAGTGGTGAGTTAACATTCCCTGTAAGTATTGTTGACCCTGGCAAACAGCCGTGGCATAACCCTGGTCATTAGCAAAGCTCCCGGCTTTCTCACCAACACACACGCACATGCACACGTGCACAATAGCATCCGCTGTCACCCCTGATTTGGTTGACCCTTGACAGGAGAGGAGCTCGGCATGACAGCCTGTCAGCGGCCCTGCCATGTGTCTGGCTCGTCTCCCTTCATTGGATGGCCAGCATGTGCCTCAGGTCTCCCCCGCCCATCCATATCCACACCAATTTACAGCCTGGCTGCCAGCAGAACCATATTCTCATGTGACAGTTTTTTTTTTTTTTTTTTTTTGTTCCCTGGTCAGCAATCCTGAATTACCATGTTTCATTCCCATGAATTCCCCTGTGGCTGTTCTGCAATAATGCACAGCCACATTTGGATCAACATTCACTCTCGCAGGTTCAATACTCTCCCGTCAAATAGAGAATGTTGTAACGATATCTGTATTCTAATAATAATAATAAAACATCCACTTTTTGTGTGTATTTCCACCTCAGTAGAAGGCGCATACTGTAACAATAATCTTCTCGTTTCCTCTGCTTTGCTCTGCTCTGTTGTGTGTGTGTGTGTGTGTGTGTGTGTGTCTAAATTCTGTTGAGTGCGTTGTCTCTGCGGCTTTTAACAACAAAGTAACACAATTCTGATGAATGATCATCCCCGCCAAGTTTTTATTGCTTTTTTTGTAGATTACATCAGCTTGTAGTAAATCGCTTTTGCCGAGGAAATGTGTGATCCTAATGAAAATACTTCAAACCATATCTTAATGCAAACAATAGATTTGAGCTGTTGTCTGCATAGTTGATTTTTCACACAGCTGTCATCAGCATTTTTCATTCATGAAATATAAAGGGCTTGAATTAGTGATGTAATTACAGCGAAAAGATGATAGGATTGTTGAAATTTTAAGTTTTGGTAATAGAGAGGCAAAGAAAAGAGGCCAAACGGGAGGCCTCGACAGAGATCTGATCTCTGACTGTGCTTTTTGTTACTGAGGGAAATCAGCACATGCAGTTGATTATGAAAGACTTAGGACTGCAGCTGCCTGTAGACCACAGGAGATGTGGGTGTCGTTGGATACATGCGAAAGGCTGTGAGATCATAGCACCATGTATGACATCTTCTTTATATTCATTGTTGATCTAAAGAAGGTCAATTTGACCTCAGCGGTAACACCCTTGAAAAAAGAGAGCTTTTATATAGACCCTGTGAAGATGGCGTGTGAACACTCCTGTGAACACGCCCTCATCTGCTGGCGTTGACAGATGGGGTGTTCTAGCTAAGGTTAGTTTGAGGGCTCGCGTTAGGATGAATGCAGGCACGAAGGCTTGGATGCTTTGATATCACAGCTGCAGTCGTATGTGAAATAAACGGACCTTTCATCCCACACACAGGCGTTGAGTGCGTGCAAGTGTGAGCCACCATCTAACTTGCCATACAGCACTTTAAAGTGCAACTTGAACAAAATGTACACATTTGAAATAAATTCAAGTGTTTGGCCTCTCTTAGTGGTGCATTGTTTTCGTTGCCTGATATCAGGAAATGGTTTTACGCTATATTCGAATTATGAGCGCCCCTGCTAAAATTTCACACGATCAAAATACTCTCTCGTAACACCTAGTCTTACCCTGTCGTCCATGGTTGCCCATCACCCAAAAGCAGTCAACCTTAGGGAAAAGGGGAAACACTGTCTTGGCAATGCACATTAACACATTTTGTAGACTTGTTTTACAAACACAAACATATGCTATGGGAATAATTTAAAAAAAATCGAAGAATCAGATAAGAATTAAACAAGTTAAGATTGACTCAAGCAGGCATTCAAATATAAATAAACAACATCTAACATGTCCGCAGTCCACTAATTGTTTTGGGATTGTTTATCTTGAGCACTAAACTATTTGCTCCCCATTCGGTAATGTTGTGAAATGAGAGCCAGACACTTAAACCAGGGACGGAACTGGAAAGCCTTTCGTATTGAGTGGAATCAGGAAGTCATTAACAAACTGATGCATTACAGAGTCATAATGGCAGGCAGGCTGATACAGATATATCAGCCTGCCAGAATGGAGGGCATCGGTCGATAACAACTCCTCAAAGTGTCTTCCTGGCAAGTGCTGTGCCCCGTAATGAAACTAGCAAAGAGATGCATAAGCCAGGAGGGTCTTTCGCCAGCCGACCTCACCCCTGTGGTGGCAATCCCATTATCATTAAGTGTCCGAAGAATTATGAAGGAGGCTTCATGTTGCTGACCGAGCTGAAATAAGTGTATTAACCGGCAGTTTCTCAGCTGTCAGGGGTCTCGGTTTTAGGCCCCTGCTAATGTAATGTTAATAAAAAAAAACAAAATAGTGGGCTGTGGGACCCCCGAGAGCAGCCTTCATGTATCTCCCGTACTCCTACAAACCGAGGCGGCGCACTGTAATATACCGTGCACCTGCCTGCATCAGCAGAAAACACACATGGTGAGATGAACAGTTATGGTTGTGCTGCTGAGGTTATTGCACTTGGTTTATTTAATGGTGCTATCAATGGCTGGGTGAACAGAGGTGCATTGTGGGATGAATCTCACAGACTTGGTCCCTGTCCAGACACTAAGTGGACTTACACACACACACACACACACTCACACACACACACACAGAGTGCATATCTTCGCAGAAATAACGCACACACATCTCGTTCCCTCATTGTTTCTCATTAACACACAAATGCCCAGATGTTGGCTGTTTTTCAATAAACTGCAGTATGTGTTGTGCGCATGAGGGAAATTATTAGCCAGCTGTTCAATCCCCAGCTGCAGAGAATATTCAATTTGCTGTGGGTACCTAAACACACACACACACACACACAAACACACACTGTAGATACATGGCTGAGAGAGAGAGTAGTTTTGTGCCCTGCATGTTACAAGCCATAGCGAGAGGCCAGGGGAGGTTTCCGACACCGGTAACAATCTGATGTTAATCAATTAGCAGACAACTGACTGAGCTGGAGGCCAGCAGTGAACTGCCATTAAACCCAGGGAAACTGACAGACAGGTACACGGTTAGACCGCTCAAGAGGACAGTAACTGTTGGCAAGCATTGCTGCATAGTCCGGCTGGCAGGAATGCTGCTGGAGTATTTGTGTGATGAATTTGTTCTTGTACATGCCTGTCTTCCTGTTTGGTCCTGGTTTAATTCACTCTTTTTGCAAAGGTGATAGAAGCCCATTGTGTGTGCGTGTGTGGTGCAAGAGGGTGCACGCACGTGTGCGTCCGTGCTTAGCATGCATTTTGAACAGGCAGGCCAGATGATCCATATTGTCAGGGTCAGGCCTATCTGGGCTCAGCTAACCTCAACCTCTTAACACCTAACATCTGCTGGGGTCAGACAGCCGGCCAGCCCAGGGATGGCTCATCATCAGCTGGACGCTAGTGTTCATGGTCCAGCTAACTACTGGCAAGAGATGAGGGTTTGTTTGAGTGTGTGTGTGTGTGTGTGTGTGTGTGTGTGTGTGTGTGTGTGTGTGTGTGTTTGTGTGTGTGTCTCCAAGCAAGTCTGGCTCTAGCTCTCTGAAACTCCGTTTCATGTTAGATCTCCACTTGCCTTGGGCAAACATGCTGTGAAGATTTTGGTTACACAACATTACATATTGATCAGCCCATGACTTATCAGTTTGTTTAATCCATGCTTGGTGTTTCTGTGTTAACAACCTAAGATAATACCTACTAATACTTGAACCATACTTTTTTAAACATCACTGCAGGGCGCGGTTCGATTATTTTGTCCTTGTCTTCTGGGATGGATGTGAAAATCAATACTCAAGACTAATCACTTTGCATTTTTTATACTATAGTAATAAAGTACATGCTATCCCATATAGACACTTTACATCCCGTATATTTTGTCACACATTCCACATGCCCTTACTCTTATCCGTCCTTTCTTATTTTTCTCTCTCCAGGAGACTATGTGGTGCTGACCGTCTTCTTTGACCTGAGCAGGAGAATGGGCTACTTTACCATTCAGACCTACATCCCATGCACCCTGATTGTTGTCCTCTCCTGGGTCTCATTCTGGATCAACAAGGATGCTGTACCTGCAAGGACATCATTAGGTAAACGGAAAAAAGAAAGTCATTTCTGCCGCAAGGTTTTTACCAATTGCTGTACATGCTGAAATCAGTTATAAAAAAGAAAAAAGGTCACTTAGCAAAAATGTAGCTTTTATTTTCTTTTAGACCCCACATCCCTCTCCTCTGTAACTGCTCATGAAGCCTTGACAATTCCTTTGCTGTAGTTCATTTTTATAATCATTCCACTTGGCCCAAACACACATATATGCTTCAGTTATACCAGTGTGCTTCATTAGCGGGCCTTAATTACTCTCTGCTGTGAAACACATCAAAAACCCTGTGGTGGTCACACACCACCTCAAACTGAAAAGCAATCTGCCTAAGCTTCCTCTTTCCTGCCTTTCTCTCCTTTCCTTTTTTCTTTCCCTCACCATCCTTCCTCCTCCTCTTTTCCCCTCTGAGACAGGGCAGCTGCTTACAAATCTAGTTCGTCTTGATTAGAAAAGCCTATCCTGGCACATATGTTTTCATACATGCCTTAATGAGGCATTAATTATGCAATGCAGCAGGGAAAGTGCAGAGATGCAGCCTCAGCAAAATAAGAATGCAGGTGGCCTCCTAACCGAATGCAATAAGGAGACACGCAAGGAAAAAAGAGGGCAAGAGCGAGGATTTCAAGGAAATTTATCAGCTTTTGAACTTGCCCTCGGCATCCATTGGACATCTTCAGAAGTTCACTCATGATGGAGTTGCGTACATATTCCTTAGTCAGCTTTCCTTTTGGCCCCTTAAGGCTCTAACTCCTGACCTCAAGTCAATGTGATGGGATGATTAGCGAGCATAATTTAATGTGAAACAATCCCTGCAGGACGAAACCCTCTTTCTACCTCACTAGCATCGTTACTTTGCCCATCATTAATCTGTCTAAAAATAGGTTATTTGGTTTTCCCCCCTGCTTATGCAGCTCCAGCCATGATTTGCAGTCTAAATAATAACACTTCTAATTCCCAGCTAAAATTGTACCAAGAGTCAAATATTTTAATTTCAGTTGAAAGATGATGCAGAAGGTACAGGAAGCCAGGTGGTTAGGAGGCGGATTAATGCAGATGACATAATTCCTAATCCTTCAATGACATCCAGAAATATATCAATTCACTTGCAATACTGCGATGTTATTCTAGACTTACAATGATGTCTTTCTGTCGGCAATAACTTTAAACACAAATCATCTCCTATGTACAAGGCGGTACTCTTGGTAGTACGAGGGTTGTGATGTTGCTATTGATAATAATGTTATATCAGTGTACTTATAAACGCATTTCTTTATCATGTGTCATCACCTCGCCTCCATCTACATTACATCATCGTTAGAGATAGAGGGAGTGCGAAAAGGGGGAGAGGGTTACCAGATGGCGGATAAAAGAATGCTCTACGTCAGTGTGATGGTCAATGGCGGCTAAACCGTAAACTATGTGGATCAAGGGGACAGTAAAACAGCTGCTCACTCCGTCCTTATAGGCGTCTAACTGCAAGAGCTTGCTATTAAACAGCAAACACTAATCCTCTTTAATTCATATATATATATATATATATATATATATACTGTGTATATATATATATATTACTGTTAAGTCACAGTTTGTTATTGTTCAGCGAAATAAACCTCCAGCATTACATTAGAAAATAAAATACCAGAAAATAAATATCTCACCTTACATCATATGAATATGATATTATGCATCTCCGTGAAAATTTGAATTACACTGTAATTCTCCAGTGACTTTTCTTTTCTCCCCTTGGCATGTGCGTTTCTAAATTGGAAATGTACATCATACGCAGCACTTGGCTATAAGTTTTGAGTGTTTTAATGCATTGAAAAAGAACTGCTTCTCATCTGTGAACATTATTAAAAACCTCCACTCCTTTGATCTCCACTTGGACCTTTGCTCGTTTCAGCTTCCCTCCAACTGCGAAACTATTTTGGGGAGAATAACCTTTTGGTGACAAATGCAATACTATCTTATCAACTCTTCTTTATACACCTGAAGAAATGTCTGAATAAAACTGTGAGCAGCATGCGGATCATGTTCAACTTCATGACAGATTTACGAGCACATTAAATACGGCGAGATGATTGTATTCATGATATAACTAGAATTGTGGAGCATTTTTAGATGGAATAAGAATTCAGAGTGTAAAAATGATGCATTCCTTTGAGCTCTATGTGGCAGTGCAAAAAAGTACAGAAACTGAACTTACACATTTCTATTTTGTTGTGATTTAGAGCAGATCTAATTTTCTGTCTTCCCTCCAATCACATTACCAGGAATCACCACTGTGCTGACCATGACCACGCTGAGTACTATTGCCAGGAAATCCCTTCCAAAGGTTTCCTATGTGACTGCCATGGACCTGTTTGTGTCAGTCTGCTTCATCTTCGTCTTCGCCGCACTTATAGAGTACGGCACGCTGCACTACTTTGTCAGCAACAGGAAGCCGAGCGCCAAAAAGGACAAGAAGAGGAGAAACCCGGTGAGCGTCTCTCTGAAACTAATTACAGTGATGTTTTGTTTTTTGTTTTTTTATGAGGACACTTTATTGAGGTTTCAGTAAAGTTCTGTATGTAAGTTCTGACCAGGAACGTTTGCTCAATTTCTCAATGTAGCTACAAACATTCTTTTATTTATTTACTTATATACTATATCTTTATGTAATATCTTTAGAGCGTTTACATTATCTTTTTATTTAGGTGAAATGTCAATTTCTCTCACTGTCCCTGCCCCACAGTATTACACTTCAGGGAGTAAGTCTTGGGAAAAAAAGCTAAACACTGCATTTCTAAGGGAGCATCTTCCAAGGGGCCGCCACACAAACTAATCAATGAGCGAGGGGTGCCGCTAAAACCTTTTTCTAATCCGCCACATATCTGTTACAGTTGTAATTTAGACCCATGTCACATGACAGGAGAATTGCAGTCATGTGATGTGAGCCTTAAATCTCTCAAGAGATCATGGCAGCTTGGTTTGAAGGGACATGATTTCTCATGATTTCTCTATGAGCACTTATGGAGCCGAGAACATTTCCTCTCAACAGCGAGACGAGCACTTAATCAGCTAGAATAGAAATTTTGCATGAAACAAGTGATTAGTAGACAAATTAACAACTTGAATTTTTCTTCGTCAAAGAATTGTTGTTTAACTGATATCCATCTTTGTGGTCATGTCATTTTTTTTAGGTGGGTGGGATTAGATTTGAAAGATATTAAACCTCTCCACTAAGTTTACTGTGCTTGGGTGAACAGGAGTGTTGAAGTGGAACTTTGGGAAAGTGAGGCGCTCTAGTTTCAGCCTCTGTAACTAATGTTTCTAACTGTCTCGTGGATGAATGAATGACTAATGAAGTGGAAGGTGCCACGCCAGTTTGCCATCTCAGAGGGGCTTTTCTCTAGGTTCTCTGCATGACTTGCCAAGATATAGGAAGGAGAAAGTATGCAAGAAAACGAGGTCTTTGACTGAAATTCATTTGGTATTCATGAATTGTTAAAAAGCATGGAAAGAATAGGAAATCGAGGAAATATAAATAAAGAACTTCAAAAGTGTATCTTACTTATAAGCTGTGTTGGTTCCTTGTGATCTTCTTCATAAGATGCAGAGGGATTTTCAACATCAGATGTCCTCCTGTCATTTTATTTTGTTTCTTCTAGATTACCGTCATACATTATCACAAGGTGTATTATTACATATAGACTTAATCTCTCCAGTGTGGCATCTGTGACATCTTTCCTAAGGTGATGCTGGCATAAGAATCGTGTGAAATACATGTATCCCACCATGCATCTCCCCCTCTGTATGTTCATAACATGTATGTCTCTCTCCAGTATAATTCTCCTCTTTCCATTTTGAGTTAGCCAGTAGAGTGATTGTAAATTTCACACATTATCTTGTGTTTTTTTGTTCTCTGTTTACATGTATTCTTTGTTTTTCTTTGTTACTCTCTTTCAATTCCACATATTCTGTGTTTCCTGTCTGGACAAAAGCTCCTCCGGCTCTTTTCCTCAAAGGTATATTGCCTGTGTCTGACTGCATGCGTCTGCTACATTTTGGCTCTTTGAGCCCCCAGCACCTCACTGCTTTTCTGTCTGTTCTACAGCAGATATGCCTCTCTTTATTCCCTCTGTATCTACCTGCATTCCTACTGTACTCATCAGTTAACAAATAGGTATCAGAGATAACATTAAAAAGGGGCGCTCTGCAGTGCACAGTGTGGAGGCAGCCAGCCAGACGTACTTATGGAGTTTTTCAAATTAAAATAAGCATCCCACACGTCCCCTGTCCAGAGGAATATAACAGTCCAGGCCCTGCGTGGACTCATTCTGGCTCCCTCTGTCCTGTTTCACTCCTTGTTGTTGTAACCACAGTGATCTAGCAGTAGCTGCAATAGTTTCCTGTTCCTTCCCTTCTCCTGCCAGTAAAGTGTGTGTTGTTGGGCTTCTCAACCTGACTCTTCCTACAGAGTCAGCAGAGCCTTAACAGACTGAAACAGACAACCCCTGCACGGTTAGGTCTAATTAGAGATGGAGGTCCGTTCAGAAGATTAACACATGCCAATCTTTAAACACACAAAAAATGCATCCAGGGTGGGTGGGAGCTAGCAAAGATCTGAATCTAGTCTTACACACAATTCAAGACAAAAAAATCTTCTTTTACACATAGTGGTCCACATCAATATGTTATTGGGAGCAATCACTGTACGGTCAGATCGATTAGATTTTCAGCCTACACATGGGTCTAAATGTACTGCTGAAGAATCCACCTTTATTTGTACACAACCATCAAGTATTCAATTTAAGTCAGATAACCGAGGGATCCTCCAGCAATGATCCTTAATGATTCTGCCTGTTGTCTTCTCTCAGAGGTTGTCTAATTTCAGCCAGTTAAAGTTGCCAATGCCACCGTGTTGTTTCTTTGTCGTTGTTTTTAATTTATTTTTTGCTAACACCAGCACAGCCCATCTTGACCAGGTCATGTGGCAGGATGCTGTTAATGCTCCTTCTGCTTGAGCTTCCACTGCGCTTCCTCCAGTGCAACCAATCCCCTTTGAGAACTGAGTCATAACCTATTCTGCTAATCGCCTCATGACCTCAACATGCATTAATACGGACAAAAATGGCGAAACTAACTCATATGTTGTTTTGTTTGTGGTTATGTATCGTTTTCAAAGGGACCACAGGTTTGTGCACTAGTGCTGGGCAAGACGAGAAGTTGTAGGGAATGAATAGTTCAATCAAGTTTAAGTATTTTTAGGCTTGTTTGAGAATGCATGCTAACAGATAATTATATTTTGCAACTAAAACTGCATTGACCAATTTCTTTTTTTTTTGTAGCAAGCTGTAGATGCATTAAAATGGGGCCAAAAACATTCATGGAGACAGAGTATTTACGGTTTTGTGATCTATGTTGCAATTTAAAAAAGAACAAATCAACATAGAGCATAAATACGTGATGTAAAACATAGTTGGAGTGCCGGTACAATCGTTTATAGAATATTATTCCTATGTCATAAAGGTATTTCTTTGAGGGAAAGTGGTGATGTGAAATTCTTAGAAGTTGAACTTTTGCTCAATGCACTGTGTCATTTTTAAATGATGAGCTTGACACTCTAGTTTATCAGCAAGGTCAAGGAACCTCTGCCAAAGGGGGTGGGGGGCATTTATCCTGCCAAACAGCCAGAATTCCAATTTGTGCGAAGGTGGCATGGTATTTCAAGATAAAAGCTGATGAAAGCAGTCTGTTTGAATGCTAATTGTCTCCCTTTAGAATGACAGGCCACAGACTTACTGATGTCCTATTTTAGGAACAAATAAAAGGCATATGCCCTCCAGTGGTGAGCACAATTTGAAAAGGAGGTTTGTTTCAACCCATTTAGTGACAGAAAGAGTGGGCTGGAGAAATATTGAGCTGTGTACCGCACATCTGCCACCACATGCTCCTCCCTAAGCTAAGCTTAATGATGTATCATAAGCCAGTTACTACCTATCTTATAAATGCATTTCAGAAAGAAATGCTTACAACATCCATACAGGTCCAAATTATGACATTTTGTTGAGTCACAGGGCATTCGAAACATTTTAAAGAAGTGCTTAGAACATGTGACTCACAGTCATCTGCTTGCTACAGCATTTTCACTGCATTTTTAAAGGTTCTCTATACGATATTTAGAACATTAATATGGCATCAAACAACTATTCGTATGTAAAGATATAGTAATGTCTATCTGAGCAGAGAGTAAAGTCGTGCTCTTCTTTGTGTGTTGTATTCCGGGCTACTCTGAGCTCTGTTTACATAGCTGCACGTGCCTTTTAGTGCATGTTAGTGCATGTGAGCGTGCCCCGCTGGTTAACTCGCGGCCGCCGCTTTACATTCTACTCGTACGGCAGTTCTAGACGATAACGTCGTCCTGGACGCGTTACGCCCACCTCCCGTTCCCCCTCAGGTTAACACCGTTATCTCTGTCATCACTGTTGATGTTGTTTGCACTTTTAGTGCTCTTAGCACCATTAGCTGCGAGCTGCAGGCTCAGCCGTCGAGGAACTAGATATGCTCTGAATTTCGTATTGACCTTTTAAATGTTGTGCAATAATGCATAGTAAAAACAGAATTAGGCATTATCCAGCCCCAGCTTTAAAAAGTATAGCTGCTAAGTAAAGCAATATGGACTACTGTACTAAAAATATTATGGCTGCTTCAGCCGCCAGCCCAAAAGTGTAATTTGCATCATAGATTCCACAGGGATGACTGACCCGTTGCTCCTATAAGCCTCACTAATTACAACTACAGGTGGTAGTTATGGCTGAATTAGTATTTTCTGACATTGAAAGGGTCCATTGGCAAATTGAGGGTGCAAATTACATTTTGCTGACTAATGACAGAAATTGAAGCGGGAGACAAGAAATGGCAGCTCAAATTAGGTCCCCTGTTATGTCAGGGAGTTCTCAATTACGGCACTCTGGGGCTCCGACAGCTAACTGTGTCATTTTGTCCTGTTAAAAGCAGACACCCACGGTAGACATCCGTCCACGCTCGGCCACAGCCATTCAGATGAACAACGCCACGCACATGCAGGAGCGAGACGAAGAGTATGGTTATGAGTGTCTGGACGGGAAGGACTGCACCAGCTTCTTCTGCTGTTTCGAGGACTGCCGCTCCGGAGCCTGGCGGCACGGCAGGTTGCACATCCGTGTCGCCAAAATAGACTCATATGCGCGCATCTTCTTCCCCACTGCATTTGGTCTCTTCAACCTGGTCTACTGGGTCTCCTATCTCTATCTCTAGGCCTGGGTGGGTTTCCAGCCTCATCATATAGCTCATGTCATTCTACATATGCTCTGTGCCAGCAAGTGACATTGCGAAGGAGGGGACCCACTGAAATACCCACTGATTTGATTTAAAGCATTTCCTTTAATTTCTTAGTTTTAATCTCTTGAGATGTTAGCTTTATTATTTGAGAACTTTAACAGACATTGCAAATATTGTAGCATTACATTTAACTGGTATGAGGAGGTTTGTAAATGTGTTGTGAAATCATTGATTGTGTAAGCAATTAAGAGGATTCACAAGGTTGGGTTTTTTCTGGTTTTATGATATGATTTTGGACATTTTATTTTGGAATTCCTCCTCCATTTCTTCACAATGGGTCTTCTACTAATTGCTTTATTTTAAGACAAATGCATCCCTTCCATAGAAAACAATTGACATGAATAGCAATTCAGATCACATCAAACGCTTGAAAAAAAAAGAGAAAATGTATATCTTATCATTCCTTTTCACTTTAATTTTTCACTTAAAATATTAAAACACACAATCTGAAGCACTTTAATAGAGCTATGTTTGACTGTGATGCTAATCTAAGTAATTCATTTAAGTATTGGCACAATTAAACATTGCATTTTTCATGTGTGGTCAGAGACGGAGAGACGATGCTATTTATGAAAAATGCTCAACTGTACAGACGCTGTATATAGTTTACTATTACATAGTGGTTTACATTTATTGCATGCACCTTTCAGGCCACAAATCAACATATTTTATGGTCTTCTGTTGTTGGCTATAGAAAAAAAAATAAAAAATGAGCACTGTTGATTAACATTTAAGATTTAATTAAACTATTTTCTAGAAAAATAGGAAAATGGAATGATAAAAATGTGCCCGGTTTATCCTCTTCAGTTGAGGAATCATCTTTGCATACAAGGTAGGAGGATCAGCCCAGAATTTCAGGCCAGACAACTGGTTTAATTATTTTCCTCACAGCTATTAGCTTACAGTATAGACAACACTGACCTCTCATCCTCCCCTACATTTGCTGTTAAGAGTGTGCATTTACATAATGACACACTTCTGTTGTATTTTGGTTATGCAAGAGAAACTGTACTAAAACAAGTAATGTTTTATTTTAAAATCATTGTTTGCCCTTTACATTCCCAGAGTGAAAGCTGCAACAGTGTAATCATTGTGTGAGTTTCAAACGTATCTACACTTTAATGTGAATGTCGATACAGACAGCTGTTGGGTATTTTGAAATCCCTGCAGTGGGACAGGATTCATTCTATGTGTCATTCTTCTAAGTTGAGCAACAAAACAAAACGAAAAAATATGAATTTATATCAAATAAACTAAAGAACTTAATCCAAGTACAAAAAAGTATCTTCTTAATTTGAGAAGAGATGTGTAAACTTTATTATCAAGCATCTCATGTCCTATCTGTTTCAGGAGAAACACTTTGAGAATGTAAATTGTTACATCGTGAGGAAATTGATTCACTGGCTCGACATAATTTCATTATTTTTTGTATTTTCTTTGAAATTTTCCCTATAAAATTAGCTTGAATGCCATAATATGTGAAGCGAGCGGCTCACACAGTGAAAGCATCTGAATTGTAAATGTTATGTATGATAACATGTAACGCACATGAATTACAACCACTTACAGATTACAATTTTGATAGACACCAGTATGCAACAAATGGAGACAGTGCTTCAGTATCATTTGTAAACTCAAAAGGAGTGGGTGTACATCACATTGTTTATGTAAATAAATTATGAACAGAAGAAAACACTCGTCCTGCCCTTGGGATTTTGTATAAGGGTATATATTTTGTAATTTCAGCATTGTTACAATATATCATCATACAGTATATTAGACTTATTGTATTATGCTGAACTGACCATGTAGAATACTTTGGGGTTATGGGGTATTTATTTATTTATTCATTAATGGTATTTATTTATTTATTTTATTTGAAACAAAGTATTTCATGTTTATATAGCCCCTAAAAAGAAACACAGAATGCTGTCATTTATATCAAAGATACATTTTTGTTTGATGTGTCAATGGAGCTTGAGCTTATTTATCTTGTGTTTTCTATGTTGTGATCGATGTACACTACTCTCACAAAGGCCTGTCAAAATGTTATATCTGTTGAATTTGTGAGTTGCAACATTACCTTTTTTTGCAGCTTCTGAGTAGTAGACTATTTTCAGGGGGGGGGGGAGAAACACAAAAAACAGTTCCCAAGCCACCAGAAGAAGAAGAACATTTGCTTGTCGAAGTGACTATTGATTATATCCATATATTTGTTTTCCACCTCCGCAAGGTTTTCATCGGTCTTGGTATTTGCCATCTTTAATAAAGCATCAATGATGATATTAACATATGCATTTACCAGATTATCTCATATTTCCTGAAGTTCTTTCCCTTTCGTATTTAATGATGGCCCTGTTGTTTCCCGAAGCTGCCACTTAGTAGTCCGTCTTCAGTGTGCACATACTCTTATCTCTGACATCTTTAGGGACGTAGGTGTGTCAATAGCGATGTAGAATGGTCATCATCAGTGTTCTGTAGTTTAAAGTGCCAAACTGACACACATGCAATAGAGAATATCAAACCATAATATCATTTGTGAATCCACTTTTACTGCCTTATAGTAAAAACATATGCTAAAAGTGCGTGTTTCCTTGAAGGAAATGCTATGCAGCAAAAGTTGGCCACATCCTATTTCCTCAGACATTTTTCTTTTTTTGTATGTTGTTTTGTTTGTTATTGATATGGTACTGATCCAAAAGCATCAGGACAATTGTTTGAATGTAGACCAGACCAATAAAAAAACAATCATTATATCACGGCTAACACAAAGACATTTCTGATTCTGACTTTATCAGGATGCTGGGTTTGTAAATAACCAAGCATGTCTTGTGTTTGGATAACAGTGTGCAAAAAACAAACATACTCTATGGCATTTTATTATTTCCATGATGGTAAGAGCTTGTTTATAATTTTTCTTGTGCACTCTACTGTAAATTCCGAGCTATAAAGGCATATGGGAGATACAATTTATTCAGTGGTGTGCATGTTGGATATGTTTTCACAATTGGGACTAATTCAAGCACCGTTTCATCTGGTCTCAGTCCTTTTGCCTGCATTGACATGGACGTTTATTATGCCGTGCTTATTTTTGACAAGGTGATTTTATTTATTTTGGGACACACAAATGAGACACATTATGTGAACCGCACATGTAGATATTTTCTATTGTTATGTATTTTGTCAAACAGATGGAAACAAAATAATACACACTGGAATTACGGAGCTCAAAAGGTATCCAAGAACAAAATTTATTTCATATGATCCTCATACATACATTATGTTAGTTGTTTGTCATCTATGTATATTGAGTATTGTAAAAAAAAAAAAAAAGGGGGGCACTGATCAATTCTGTTATGGTCTGCATTATATACTATACATGTACTGGAAAAAATCCTTTTCATAAGGGAATGGCACATAGCTGTGGAATTTTACAATAAAATGATTGCATTTATCACTGGCATAGGTTCATCATTATTATGTATTCCTGTATGTGTACTTGTGGTTGTAATATTTCATTGCTATGCTATATTTTTAATATATATGCGTTACCATGAACAGACAAGCAAGGATAATTCCTACATTAAAATTCATACTTGAGTAAAAGTATAGTTATAATTGCATACAGTTTGGGAGTTTGGTCCAATGGCTCCAAAAGTGGGGGTTGGGATCCTTCCAAAGTGTCACTGTGGAGGCATGAGATGATTAATGTGGGAGGGAAGAAGACATGCATTTCTTAAGAAATATTGTATAATTTTACCTTATGAGGCCTAGCACAGGTGTTTAAATAAAACAATGCGTGACGTTTAGAGGGGATGTTGAAAGTGTGTCTTTCAGATTGCTTAGCAGCAGACTTTTCCGGCACAATTAGACACAAACATCAGTTTGTAAGGAAAACTGGTTGTGAAGCAATATGACTATGCATTTCAGCGAATGGGAGAAAAAACATGCCAGACAGTCTAACTTAGCGTTTGCTAACATATTATCTTGGACTGGTGATTTCATTATCTCCGATTGGTCGTGTGTGTGTGTGTGTGTGAGTGAGTGATTAAGTAAGTGAGCACCTCTGTGTCCGTCCACAGCTAATCTTGCATACTGCTGCAGCAAACTACATTATATGTCGGGTGCCAGTCGTGGCTGCATGTTCATGGACTGCTCGTGGTTGCCGTGACTCACACTTTCTCGAAACACATTCTATGGCCTGTACTTTATCCAGGCAGGTAAAACATAAAACATGCTCCAAGCAATGTCCTGGCATAGATACTAATATTCACAAAAATTGCAGAATAGAGAATTTACACCCAGACCAACTATATGGCCAGTTACAAACATACTGGAACCTTTTCTCAGGCAACGAGTTGTTGAAGAACCTGTAATTAAAGTAGACTACAATAAACACATTTATCCAATTTCATAGTCTTTTGATAAAATGTCAAGGTGTCTTTTTAATTACATGTTAGAAATGAGGATGACATATTGAGACATTTTAATAGCTATGTCTGTCTGCAAATTGTCCAAAATGGACTGATCATTATTTTCCCCTTGTTGGAGCAAAAACACATTTAATTGTCCCGCCCTCCTCTTCGTCAGTTGGCCAAATAAACACTTTAGCATGAAACTGCATGTTTTCTGAGGCTGAGGTAACCATCATCCATTCAGCCGCCACAGGTTTTGAGGAAGCAGTTGCTATATGTGTTAGAACCTACAGAGTAATAATCAGGCTTTTGTGTAATTTATATTGTCAACTTTTTTTTATTGTCACTGAGTAATCTGATCTGTTTCATGGAAACAGCTAAGCACATTTGTTTGGCATGAATTTACTCTACCAGAAGAATGTTTTCATTTAGGAGGACAGTTTTTTATTTTTATGTAGGAATAGCACAGTCTGTTCTACTCTCGTCCAGTGAGTCTCTTCCTTCCAGGAAAGTGCACTCGAACCAGAGTGGCAGTTGGCTGATGGAACCCTGTGCTGGCACCTCTCCCTCCACTGGACAGTGTGGCAGCTGCAAAGGACAGCCATGTGAATCCCTCTGATTATTACACAACGGTCTGCAATGTACCACAGCACAGAGCTGTCACAGCCCTTTCATCAGCTGAGGTACAGGCTCTTCGGCGAGTACAGAGCTGGGATCGCAGGGAGTCCTGCATGAATTATGAAGTCTGCACATGGCTCACTTTTAAGGACTTCACCCTCATGCTTTCATCCCTGTGTGCGCAATGACATATTCAGAATATGAATATACTGCCTCCTATTTTAATCATTCCGCCTCGGTGATGTTTTCGGGTCTCAATCCATCTGTTCCATATTCGTGAATGCAATATCTAATAAGAATTTAGTGTTCAAAGGTCATTGTGATCTCACATTACAATTTTCTGGCCAAAACTCAAGAATTCATTTGTAAATCATGACAAAATGTCACACAAATGTGTGAATAAAATGATGAAACGATAACATGTTATACCCAAAAGGTTGACCAAACTCCTGTCGTGTAAACCAGTAGCATATCATGGACCCATGTGCATCTACTCTATTACTTTTGTAGCAGGCTGGCCCTGCAGCGAGAGAGAGAGCTGCAGGTGTTGAAATGTTTAAATCTCCAATCTCTCACAGTGACTGACTTCTTTGCTGTGACTAAATCTGTGAAATTAGAACACTCAGTAGCTCTGGGTTACTCTGCAGATAAGAGTGCAGTCTAGCTGATGTTGATTGAAACAGCCTAAAAAGTTTGGAGACATTTCTTATTTACAAACTAGTATGCATTATCTATTCTATTCTCTATTTTATTTTTTTATGGCTATAATAAAAGATGTAATATTTTTTGCTATGATTTCAAATGATCTACACTTTACTTGCAGCGCATACACGTTAGCTCCCAGTGTCCCGGTGGGGCAGCCACCTGTTCAGGTGTTTCATTTCCACTACTGTAGACTCACTGGTGTGGCAGGTATCCTCACATTTTGTTTTCCTGTGCATCTGCATCATGTTTCTGGATTTCTACTATTTATGTCTGGTCGATATTAATACTTCATAAAATAATACTGAGTGAAACATGAGACCCATGTCACTCCCATCGTTGTTTGCTCAGCATCCAGCAACTATAAGACATAATCAAAGCCTGATAAGTCAAGCCAATACCATTACCAGGCTTGTTTTGTTTTGAGATGAACTGTAGCAACGCGCTTTGACAGGATTAATGGAGCGTGCAAACAGGAGTGTTCCCCGCAACAAAATCGAAACACTTTGTACCAGCGTAACGTTAACTTAAGTACAATAGCAGTCCCTCTTTAGCTAGCTTGCAAGACGTGTACACCCTTGCACCACTAAAATCAACCAACGGGATGCCTCTAGGGGCCCCGGCCATCAGGCTCCACTCTCAATCTGACAGTTCACGTTGAACACGCGCATATGTGCACATATGGTTTGTTGGTCCAGAGTTACATATGCAGTAGGGGCAAGTCTGCCGTGCCCCACCAAGCGGAAACAGACAAGCTGCATCAGGCACAAAAACAAATTTACACACACTGCAAAGCAATATGTTTCTAGAGAAGATACTTCATTCAGAATATGATTAAAAATTGCAAAAATGTTCTGAAGTAAAATTGAGTTTGCCATTATTCTGTCTGAAATTGAGAGAAGCATATGACTTCTTCTGCACAACAGCGCCCTCTAATGGGGCCCTGCCCCGCAGCTCCCCATGCAAAAACGCTAATGCTTGGTAATAATGGTGACATTGCCTTGGAAATTATAGGCCAGGATATAAATCTTATTTTTTTTAACCTTATTGCATTTCTATTTACTCAGGACTGGTAAAAGGAATAGATTTACTTACAATGGAATCATATTCCTTAGCATCTTATGATATGCATATAAGCCATATGGTTGTGGAGCTCTTCCTGTTTCATTTTGTGTGTTATTGTAGGCATTTTGTACTATAGGGCTCAGTGTTTTAGTTGCCTGACACTTACCATAACTATTTTACCAATTTCCCACCACCAATTCTTTAACATATTTTGTCTTTGCACAGATATTTTCTTTGCAAGAATTGAAAAACGTTGTAACTGATGAGTCAGCCATCTTGACAACAGGTTCTTTTTTCTTTTCGAGCCGCTGCCATCCAGTAGCAAATGTATGGGCCCTGATTAATACTTCTCGTACCATTTGTAAAAGCAGTGTCAAAATAAAAGAAGGCCATCAAAAACACAAATACAAAATAAGTCTTTGAGCATACATGGGTTGAAACACTGGCATGTCGTGAGAATGAAATATGATGTGACGGGAGAGGCATAAAATATATGTCTATACCCCATCACATAGACATTAACAAAACACACTAAACCGAATGGTCAACTACCTTCGGCAACTGTCTATTCTAATCCATCAACTGAGTAGATGAGCTGATCTGCCTGGTTCAGTTTATGTTAACACAAAGGGCAGTCAGTTTTTTAAATCACCATCATAATCCTCTGAGTTTTGGTGTGTTTTCAGTTTCACTTCATAAGGCATTTGGCAAATGATGGGGAAAAACAACATTTTGGTGGTTAAGTTATTTTATAAACTGCTTGTTAACAGTGCCTAGGTTTCCGGGAAAAAAACAGTGCTTAGGTTTCTGGAAAAAAAAAACAATGAGCCTTAGCTGTTGGCTAGACAACTAATAGGCAGCCAGTGAATTTAGACTTTGTAAAAGTAAAAAAAAAACAAAACACATAGACTGAAAACACTTTCACTGTAGTGCAGGGACTAAAACGGCTAAATCTGTTGCCACATAGGGAGCCATCCAGTGTGACATGGAGGTTGATTATGTTGTGCGTTTTTTCTGTATATGATATACGGTATACTGTATACACTGAATATTTATATAAATGTATTTTAAAAGAAATTACAGTGGATTATGTCCCAACACATTCAAGTTGCTAACAAAATTAAACTATGAAAGCAAACTATCCCTTCAGTGTTCTTCTATCTTTATTATTATTGAATTATTTTGTGAAAGGGCAGTGTGTGTATTTGCATATTTGTGACTGTTGTTGGTATGTATGTAAATCCTCTCAAATAAATAAATACTCCTAAATGTGTGTGCATGCACTAGACAGCTGGTAGAGCACATTTCTCGACCATACTGCCCTTGACACTAACTCTCTTCACGTGACCGCTCCTGCCGGGGCTCCCTGAGGCAATGTCGCTCCAGCGTCAGACCTGTCTAGTCGAGAAAACTGGATCTCAATCTCCCCACAGGGCTTAAGACCCATGGTTGTGTGCCTTAGATATCTCTTCCACTGGCTGTCCATTCCCTCCAGGTCCCAGTGACTCATCTAAGCACACAGCTGAGTCACTCCCATAGGGTGCACAGGGACAAGACACAGGCACAAACATACTGCAAAAGTGTGTTACATTTGACTTATATTTAGAAATATATTTTCAATAGGTTCACTTCAAATTACATTTTGTAGAGGTTGAAATATTATATTTGGTGTAAATATGACACAAGGAGAGCGTATCACATTGGGACAAAAACTGTCTTGGAATGGGTCAGCGGGTTAGCCAAGATATGCATCCCCACCGTCTGCATTGTAAGTTGTTTAGCCGAAATCCCCTCCCTAAA